CTCATCTGACGCAGAAAGTGCAGACGCTGCTGAGCAGAGGTGTGGAGGGACTAGGTCAAAGTGTCTGTGATCTGCACCCCATGGAATTTCATGATGCTGACCTGCTCCACTGCGGCGTTGTTGATGAGGAGGGGGGTGTGTGTGTGGTGGGGGGGTGGGGGGGATGTAAACAGCAGTGATGATGATGGTGGTAAATTACCTGGGCAGATAGAAAGGTCTACATTTTATGGTCAAAAACTCGATATCTGGAGAGCCATGACTTGAAACCACTTTGCCATTTTTACACCATCTGTTGTTATTGTAGATGCAAACCCCACCACCCCGGGTTTTACCACTGAGAGCGTAGCTCCTATCCGACCGGAAAGTTGTTAGCCCCTCCAACAGCGTCGTCAGGGATGGATGGGTTTAGCCATGTCTCAGTCAGAATTATGGCACAGCAGTCTCTCATTGTTCTCCAGGGAGCAGACGTTAGTGAGCAAAATGGATGGAAGCGGCGTTCTGAAAGGGTTAGCCTTTAGCTTAGCTGTCAGCCCTTCCGCTTCCACACAGTCTCCATCTCCTCCGGGTGAGGCCCGAGCTGATGGGAGCTCCTGCTGCTTCGTCGGCCGCTGGATCTTGATGACATAGCAGTCAAAGGCAGTTCAGTGAGTGCAGAGTTGTGATGTCCACTGTCGTTGATATGCAGTATAAGCGTAGTTCTAGGATAAACTGCTGCTCATATGCCTTATTTGGCGTTAAATGTCCATTGTTCTCAAGAGACATTGCAGCCGCAGCCGACCAGGGCGCCGCCATTTTGTTTCACCTATCCTTTTGTTTCACCATTTTGTGATGTTACTTTAGTTAAGTGTACGTGGGAAACCATGGCATGACCAAACCAAAGCTACGATCAGAGAAGTAAAATTGGTCGGCTTATATCTAGTAGTGGCCATGAACTGAAGAAAACACTACCTTAGTTTAAAGGGGTCATGAACTGGATTTTTAAATGTTATCATATTGTTGTCTGAGGTCAACTTATAACGTTCGCTCGGTTTTTGCATTCAAAAACATCAAAATGAACAAGTAATAGGCTATTTTGTACTCTGGTTGTGAGCCTACCTAAAAAACAGTCGGTTTTTATGGGCGTGTCGCACTGAAGACTTGGAAGTAAACACCCACTGCTGCGAGTGGAGAACAGTTTTGCATATTATAATGAGTTTCACTCACCCGTCGGTGTATGTGGGGGAAAACGTACTATGTTGTCAAATGGCAACCGGATTCACCCATACATGTTCGACCCAGAGTCCGTGTGTTGCACAATATTCCTGTCAGATCCAATATAGACGGCACAGCACCGTTCTTTACTCTTAATCGGTCTGCAAATCCAGTCTTGTTGACAAAACAATCCTCAGTGAAATGAAGCGAACAGACGACGATGTTTTACCTCATCAGCTGGAACGTCATTAAAAATAAATTTTATCCATGCAGTCCTATTGGAATCCACAGGAAGCTTATGCAGCGACTGTCTTCCACAACCAGGCGCTGCACAATATTCTGTATTGCTCCGTAGCGATCCAGTTTGTCATCACGAGGTAAGCATGTACATGTATGATACTTAATGCGCGATATGTGATATGTAATGCGCGAATCGGTGGGCGGGGCTAAACTGCCCGTGGTGAAGCAGGCGTTGATCATCTTCTGTGGGGGTGTTGTTTTATCCTCTTTGTCGTCATAGTTCCCCACTTTTAAAAACGAGTCGTTTTTAGAGGCTGTGTCAATAAAAGCTTTTATTGGACTAACAAGGACGTTTTCAGTTCTGAAACTTACAGGATATTCTTATAATATGATGACCTCTTAGATGTCAAAAGCTCAAGGAAAATTTGATTTCTCAGTTCATCACCCCTTTAAGTTTATACAAACCAAAGGAGCCTTTTTTTGATCCAGGAACACCTCTTACTTGGCAAAATCACGGTCACCCAAATATCTATGTTAGCGTGAATGCGACCATCTAAGATATTAGCCATTTACCTCTGTTTGGTGATCAGAACTGACCAGTTTGTGATCGTGGGCCAGCATATCGCCTGGTGTGAAGCCCCTGTGTGACTTTGGCACCCGAATGAACGATTATAATAAGAGTAAAGAGATAAATAGAATAATCAAATGTATTGCTAAACTATTATACAAATGATCAATAACAGATTGGCATTCCAACGTTAAATTCAAGGTTGTGATAAAATGGAGTCAGATAAAAGTTTAATTGTAATTAAATTACTTTGCCACGCTGAAAAGACAGTAACACACAGTAAACCTTCACTCGCTTATCAGAAACTGACGCTGGACCGATTGGGCAGGCCTTGCACAGGTATACAGAGAATGAGTAAACATTGTTCATTCACATACTGCTGACATTATAGCAATAAAAAGTGGGAAGAAAATCAGCAAAGTTACACTTTAACTTGGAGATATTAGTTTGAGGTACAGTAGACACAAAACTTGGATGTTGTTCTTTTAGGGTGACCAAACAGATACTCAAATGATACTCGAAGTTTACTCAAAGATGCCTTATTAATTTCAATACATTTAAAGTAGGCTATGCCTCCTCTGTATGGATATAAAATGGTTTTAGTTCAAGACACAAATTCAGATAGGCTTCTCAAATTGAACAAAAATAGCTCTCAAAATCTTACAAACAACAACACAATATATTTATTTATATCTTTAGTTTTTTGGTAACACTTTATTTTACGACCCACAAATAACTGTGTAAGTACACCGAAATTACGGTGTACGTTTCTGTAATTATAGTGTACTTACGTGTAAGTATAAGGGAACAATTTGTTAAGTTTTGGGTAATGCACATCTTTCAAACCGTGTAGCGTGCGCACGAAAGAGAGAGAGAGAGAACCCTTTCGCATGCATAGTAAAAGTATAACCAGTGGGGGAAAAGGCGTTTTAAACCTTATTTTGAGGCAGTCATCAAACTTTTTCAGTGATTTTTATCATATTTTACTGCTGTTTTTATACATGCATTTTTTTTATGTCCCGGTGACCAGTGAAAGTGCAGTTCTGACTCTCTGCCCATTTATTTAGATGGGAGCCTGGTCTTGTTGTCAAAAATAGCTGCCCAGAGGCGTTGCCAAGATGGCGGCCGAGTGGCATGACTTGCCTAAAAGGACTTTGATTTCTCCACATCTTGTAGTTGTATTTCCATCTGGCAAATTCAATTTTTCTGATGTATATGTGACCGTATGATATCAGACAACATGATATCCACATACATGATCAACACAGTCAATGATAAACAGATCATATTGACAAAACAGAGATATTGAATATGAATTTTTCACATCCTTTGAATACAATGCAACATAAGTGATAATGTGCTGAAGCATAGGTTTTTGTTTAATCCTGCTCTTTTTGTAACAAAAGATTCACCAAAGCTATTCCCTATCTGGAGGAAACAGATGTATCTGATGAAAGCAGATGTATCTGATGAAAGCAAGTGCTCAGGACTCTGACAGGAACAAATGGAGTGTGATTGGCGACAAAGCGAACAGATCAATGAATGCCTGAATCTATCTCTGTGAATCAGAGCCATCTGACATGAGTTGCACCATCCCTGTGACACTTAACACAACACTTTCAACACGTCTGTTGCTTTGGTTTTAATAAGCATGCTTGTTTAGAGCTGTATGAGAGCAAATCATTTTTTGTCAGACTCTGTATAGGACAATTAGCGTATCTCAATAGTCTCTGGAGTCACTGCAGGGAAAAATACTGTGGGTTTTACTACTGGGTATTGAACACATATGCTTTTTTGCAGTTTTGCAATTTTTTTGTAGTTTTGAATGAAACATTTTAATGTTTATAAAACAATTTACTGTATAGCGGGGTTTAAATGGTTCCATTGTGGGTGTGTGTTTGTGTGTGTCCACAAAGAGGGCAATATCTGAAATCCTTGTCCTTCTGGGGACATTTTTGGTCCTCATGAGGAAAACAGCTTTCTTTCAGGGGGATACAGAAAGCTTTCTGTGATGGTAGGTTATAGGGTTAAGCGATATAACATACTGTTTGTACAGTAACATACTGTTTGTACAGTATGTAAAGTCCCATAAAACATGGGGAACACGATGCTGCATCGAGATGCTGTGGCATGGGCGTCAGTATGGTTTGAAATGTGCTGGGGACAGAGATGCATTTGATAGTAAATAGTACATTGTGTTTAATGAGATCTAATATGTGTTGATGCCGAGAATTTTCACGTGAAGAAAAACATAGATCCTACATGTACACGCATGTACTTTAATGGTCCAGTGGCAGACCTTTTGCCAAGCGTGTTGAGTTGAAGTTCTGGGTTCTAATTCCGCACTCGTATAGTTTTTTTTTTTTTTGGAAAGGCGAGACGTCATAGGCGAGTGACGTCATCGACCAGGAAACTATAAAACACACCTGAAAACAGACCACGCTAGCTTCTGATAGGCCAAAGCAAGTCGATCACTGGCATGCAGGGAGTATGGCAGGTCGACGCAGCATCTCGTTCCCTCTCAAGCTGCGTCGAGATGCTGTGGAAACACAATACCCACTACACTATAATAGCAAATGTCTGTTCTGTGTGAAGTCATTGCACACACTAAGAAGCTAGCACCTTAGACCCCGGAGGGGAGCCTAGATCAACCCGCTCAAATAAGAGAAAAAGTCCCCTGAGCGGAATCTCCAGAGGAGAGTCGTCAAGGAGAGACTCAAGGTCCGAGAACCATACTCGGGCCTGCCAATACGGGACTAATAACAGAAGATGTGCCCGTCCTGGCGAACTCTCTCCAGAACTCCTGGGGGGGTTGAACCGGGACCGGCGGATTAATGCGTGCATGAAACACAGGTTTTATTTTGGAAACATGGAAGGTACCAATATTTTGTAGACCAAAGGTTAATTTTGCGCCGAAGTTGTCCTTTAAGATAAGAAACTTTGAACCATTACACCCTTATATTTTACTTACTGTAATTGAGAAAACTGCATTACAACAAGCTTAGTTTTGTAAGAAAAAGATGTTTAATAACATGAGAAATAACATTTTACTTGCAAAGTCTGTAAACAGTTCACCACCATGACGCTTGATGACAAAATCCACAGAGCATTTCAAACAAGTAACAGAGAACATCTTGAACTTTACCACACCAAAACACACTCATGCGCAGTGGGAGGGTATAAAAAGGGAAGTTGACATTCTAACCTCAAGAGCATTGAGTGACACACGGACACTCCATTTAAAAACACATACCGAGACTGATTTAGAAAACAATTACTTGGAATCGAAACTATGAGAACAAAGAAATACTCTTTTCCATATTTTTCCACTAAATTTTCTTTTCCAATTCACCATGAGTAGCACAAAATAACCATACAGTGTGTGACCACTCAACATGCAGCTGAAACAATCAAGTATTCCCATGCAGTGGAAGGGCTTCCAGGTGCACAGGCAGAAGAAAATGGCACGCCTCTGATGTCAGATACAGGCTACTGGAGCTCTCCGGATTCCAGGACAGAACATCTTGTGCATAAATTCTCTTTTATTGTTGGTCTGAAGATGAGAAATTGGACCTCAGGCTATGGCGATGGAGGAGTCTTCAGGGAATTACAGGAACCTCCCTGGCTTCCTCCTCCAGAACTGTGATACTGCAGAGAGCATAGAAGAACAAAGCACTATAGTAATCTTAGTTCACTCAAAACATCAGTCATGCTTGCACTGATTTGACAGTACTGCATTGGACATTTACATTGATTGTGCTCCTGTTGTAGTGAAAAAGACTCATCCTGCTATTAAGGCGGAATACCAAAAAGGTTTTGAGTTTTGGTCATAGTTCGTGTGTTAGGTTTAACGGTGGGTTAAGGTGTAACGGGAAGGGTCAACAGTGTAATTCTAGATGTAATTACAGAAAATAGTTACACCTGGCAGATATATATATAGTAAATAGTGCATTGTACCATAAGATTCATTTATATGTAAGTACAAAGAAGTAGAAGACACAAAATGGGGCCAAATTTATCATTAATTAAATAAGTAATAGTAATTTTTAAATAACATTTAAAAATAGTTAGAACAAGAATTAAATCAATGGTTCTAAAAATAGACCTAATTGTGTTTTTTTTTATTATTAATCATAATAATAATGAAAATAATAATTTGTGCTGAAGTAGGTGTGGTTGTCACGGGGTGTGGTGCAGGGGTTCAGGAGTGCAGGACGAAGGAGCGGGAGGAATCCAGGTTGACATCAAACACGAATTTATTTATACACACACAGGCAGGAAGGCAGGGTTACAGGCGCAAACACCAGGTAACATGAACATCGACTGACCAAGACAGACTGAATCAGATGGAACTAAATAGACAGAGGAATCAAACTAAATGGAGTGCAAACAGGTGAAAATGATGACGAACAGACGAGGAACAGGTGGCTGATGAGGGGGTGAGATCAGGAGAGGAAACAAAAGGATCCGGGGAAGCGTGGTGCAGATGACGAGACAAACAGGTGAAGACGAAGACTGTGACATCACTCCCCCTCCCGGTAGGCGTGACCTCACGCCGTAACATCAGCGGGGAGGGGGGTGGGCGCCCTGGAGGCTGTGGAGGACGTGGTCAGGCGCAGGCAGCCCCCCAGGGCGGAGCAGGATGAGGGCGTGGCCAGGGCGGAGCAGGATGAGGGCGTGGCCAGGATGGAGCAGGATGAGGGCGTGGCCAGGGCGGAGCAGGATGAGGGCGTGGCCAGGGCGGAGCAGGATGAGGGCGTGGCCAGGGCGGAGCAGGATGCGAGGACCCTTCGGGTGGCCACGGCGGTGAGAGCCCTTCGGGAGGCCACGGTGGTGAGAGCCCTTCGGGTGGCCGTGGCGGTGAGAGCCCTTCGGGAGGCCACGGCGGTGAGAGCCCTTCGGGAGGCCACGGCGGTGAGAGCCCTTCGGGAGGCCACGGCGGTGAGAGCCCTTCGGGAGGCCACGGCGGTGAGAGCCCTTCAGGCAGCCGTGGCGGTGAGAGCCCTTCGGGAGGCCACGGCGGTGAGAGCCCTTCGGGAGGCCACGGCGGTGAGAGCCCTTCAGGCGGCCGTGGCTGGGACACTGGGCCCCCCCCAAAAAATATTTGGGTTGAGGCCCCGGGTGAAGGGCAGATGGGGAGTGGATGGTCTCGGGCTGGACGGTCTGGACGGTCTCGGGCTGGAGGGTCTGGACGGTCTCGGGCCGGACGGTCTGGCCGGTCTCTGGCTGGACGGTCTGGCCGGTCTCTGGCTGGACGGGCTGGACGGTCTCTGGCTGGACGGGCTGGACGGTCTCTGGCTGGCCGGTCTGGACGGTCTCTGGCTGGACGGTCTCTGGCTGGACGGTCTGGACGGTCTCTGGAGGGCTGGACGGAACCAGCAGTGAAGAGCACACCGACTCTGGAGGGCTGGACGGAACCAGCAGTGAAGAGCATATAGTCTCTGGAGAGCTGGACGGAACCAGCAGTGAAGAGCATACAGTCTCTGGAGGGCTGGACGGAACCAGCAGTGAAGAGCATACAGTCTCTGGTGGGCTGGACGGAACCAGCAGTGAAGAGCTTACAGTCTCTGGTGGGCTGGACGGAACCAGCAGTGAAGAGCTGACAGTCTCTGGTGGGCTGGACGGAACCAGCAGTGAAGAGCTTACAGTCTCTGGTGGGCTGGACGGAACCAGCAGTGAAGAGCTTACAGTCTCTGGTGGGCTGGACGGAACCAGCAGTGACGAGCGTTCAGTCTCTGGATGGCTGGACGGAACCAGCAGCGAAGAGCATACAGTCTCTGGAGAGCTGGACGGAACCAGCAGTGACGAGCATAAAGTCTCTGGAGAGCTGGACGGAACCAGCGGTAAAGAGCATACAATCTCTGGAGAGCTGGACGGAACCAGCGGGGAAGAGCATTCAAACTCTGGAGAGCTGGACGGAACCAGCGGCGAAGAGCATTCAATCTCTGGAGAGCTGGACGGAACCAGCGGTGAAGAACATTTAGTCTCTGGAGAGCTGGACGGAACCAGCGGTGAAGGGCCTTTAGTCTCTGGAGAGCTGGACGGAACCAGCAGTGAAGGGCATTCAGTCTCTGAAGAACTGGACGGAACCAGCGGTGTAGAGCATTCAAACTCTGGAGAGCTGGACGGGACCAGCGGTGAAGAGCATTTAGTCTCTGGAGAGCTGGACGGAACCAGCGGTGAAGAGCCTTTAGTCTCTGGAGAGCTGGACGGGACCAGCGGTGAAGAGCATTTAGTCTCTGGAGAGCTGGACGGAACCAGCGGTGAAGAGCTTTTAGTCTCTGGAGAGCTGGACGGAACCAGCAGTGAAGGGCATTCAGTCTCTGAAGAACTGGACGGAACCAGCGGGGTAGAGCATTCAATCTCTGGAGAGCTGGACGGGACCAGCGGTGAAGAGCATTTAGTCTCTGGAGAGCGGGACGGAACCAGCGGTGAAGAGCATTTAGTCTCTGGAGAGCTGGACGGAACCAGCGGTGAAGAGCTTTTAGTCTCTGGAGAGCTGGACGGAACCAGCAGTGAAGGGCATTCAGTCTCTGAAGAACTGGACGGAACCAGCGGGGTAGAGCATTCAATCTCTGGAGAGCTGGACGGGACCAGCGGTGAAGGGAGGTTCGGCTCGGGAGGGCTGACGGTGCGCGCAGGCTCGGCAGGGCTGACGGTGCGCGCGGGCTCGGCAGGGCTGACGGTGCGCGCGGACTCGGCTGGGCTGACGGTGACCAGAGAAGATGAGGGTTCAGGGTTGGGAGTGGTGCTGGTGACTTCTTCCACGTAGAATGGGGATTCACAGCACACCAGCACCCACTCCACACAGGCGAGGAAATCATCTGCTGGACCGCTCCCTGGGAGGCGTGCCCGGGACCGCTCGCTGAGGCTGGCGATGTAGAAAACACACAGCGAGCGGTCCGAATAGTGAGTGTGGAACGCCAACTCCAGAAAGTCCCTGGTATGGGACTCCAGGGAGCGGTCTTCCTGGTCCAGACAGAGAAGGCTTACCGCTGGTAGGTCCATAATACTCAGTTATTTTGGTCAGTCGATCTGTCACGGGGTGTGGTGCAGGGGTTCAGGAGTGCAGGACGAAGGAGCGGGAGGAATCCAGGTTGACATCAAACACGAATTTATTTATACACACACAGGCAGGAAGGCAGGGTTACAGGCGCAAACACCAGGTAACATGAACATCGACTGACCAAGACAGACTGAATCAGATGGAACTAAATAGACAGAGGAATCAAACTAAATGGAGTGCAAACAGGTGAAAATGATGACGAACAGACGAGGAACAGGTGGCTGATGAGGGGGTGAGATCAGGAGAGGAAACAAAAGGATCCGGGGAAGCGTGGTGCAGATGACGAGACAAACAGGTGAAGACGAAGACTGTGACAGTGGTCTTACGTAGAAAGTTAAGATTTGAGGTTGGAGGGTAGTGTTAAAAATAAGTTGGCCTTTAATAGGCAAAAAAAAGAGAGATTTCACAGTACCTCACCTCAGCCTTCAAAACCATCTGCTGTTAGAGAAAATTATTTGTTCTAACTCCCTGCAATGCCACAAATGACAGAGCTACAGAGAGCTGTGATTCTCTGGATTTTTTGGAATCGATTCTGATTCCGATTCCTAGTTCTGGAATCGAAAAGAATCGATTCCAGAATCGATTCTTCAGTTGTTGTTTTTTTTGTTTTTTTATACCAACCGTGGCTTACCTTTCCACACAGCGACAAACTTTCTACATCGGGCGTTAGACTATTGCGAGTGCTGCATGGTCATAAAATATAACGAGGCATTTACTTCCATGCATGAAAATGAGTCTGGGGTGAAATAGGTTACTAGGGGGGTCCGGTGTCATATGCTCCCCCGTAAGAAAATTTTAAATATTCCATATTTTAAAGCATCAATCTGATGCATTTTGAGATGCATTTTTTGCAAACATGGGGAGAGAAACTTAACTTCAGTCATGGGTCAAAATATGGCCTCCGTATAGCGTATGCTGTGTTCAACGACTCGTCAATTTTACCAGCGCAGTTAAAAAAAAGTACAATTTCTATAACTCTAGCGTTGAACTGACAATCACTCTTTTGTGTGTTAAACACAACCTAATCAATACAGACAACTTTATTATAGCTAAAGAAAAACAACAAATCAAAAAAAAAAGAGAGAGAGAGAGAGAGATCAACCTATGACAGAATTATTTTATACTAGATTAGTGGATACCTCAGTAAAATTTAGTCTAGAAAAACAATAATTGTATAAAGTCTGAACATTTAGTGAAAAAAAACATGTGGGGAACAAATAAGAGACAATACGTATATATATTATTTTTTGTGAACGGCCCGAAGATGTTTTATCATTGGGGATGTTGTTTGGCTAAATTTATCGCAAATTTTTGTCGAATCTCACGTAACTTAGCACCATGCCCTACAAAGCAAAAAGGCAGTAACTGCAGTTTTGGTAAAGCATTAATTATTACAAATTTCATGACATTCAAGGCATCCTTTGTTATATGACAAAACATCTTATCTTAAGTGCGTGTCGTTTTAGAGAAAAATGGTAGTCGTTTGTACAGTACTTGCAAAAAGCCCTAGCAAAACTAATTGTTCTCAGTTCTGCACTCTGCGTAGTTACTGCCTTTTTGCTTTGTAGGCTTGACCTTGGAG